TTTTTTAAAGCCGTCTCGCCAACATGAACCGCCCCGCTGCAGTTGAGATTGTCTACGAGTGCATGAGGTTCCTCATCACCCACAACCCCACCAATGCCACACTTAACAAGTTCACTGAGGTATGCTTACGTTTATGTTATTGCTGTTTATCAGATTCCCAGGGCTCTGTCTCAAATGCACCCTTTCACTTTTTCTGCCAGGAACTGAAAAAATTTGAGGTGAACACTCTGGTTAGAGTTTGTGATGCCACCTATGATAAGGCTCCAGTAGAGAAAGAGGGGATACAGGTCTTGGTAAGTGTTGACATACATTTTTGCGGCAGCCTCTTACTGGATGTTTGTGCTGTTCAACTAGGTTATTTGATGATGACTTATGTTTTCTGCTTTAGGACTGGCCTTTTGATGATGGTGCCCCTCCTCCCACCCAGATCGTGGATAACTGGCTCAAGTTGCTCAACACCAAATTTCGAGAGCAACCCGGCTGCTGCATTGCCGTACACTGTGTGGCAGGCCTCGGACGGTATGTATGGTGTACAGTTGGCCTCCTTTTCTCCAAAACCCTTTTTTCTTACGTGCCCAAATAACAGTCCTGCGTGCAATAAATGAGAAATGTAGTGGTATGTTTTAAGTTAGAGGGTTAGAAGGTGGTTATTTGGGTCCATATCAAAGTGGCGGAAGAGATAACTGAGACATCTGTTCTCAAAGTTAGATGTGCCATTTCTAAGGCAGCAACACAGCCTGTGCCTTGTGTAACGCAGCCCATTTGACCCAGTATCTCATCCTTTTGTTTTTTCCCGCCCTGACCAGGGACCATTTCATTGCTGCGGTATTAACAGTAGCTCCAGAGCATTCACTTGTTGTTTCTTCACTATTGATCACACAGCATTGGCTGGTCTTGCCTCTCACCTACACCTCCACAATTGAATCCTCAATACTCATTAGTGATTCATTTAGTAACTCAAATGATTGTCTCCATTTTCTACTCCTGTTAGAGATCATTTAAGCTGCTGATTGTCTTTTTACTGAGCACTATCATTAGTTACAACAGCCGGGCATTGGTTCTTGGGGGGGAAGCTCTAGCTTTCGAATACATTCTATCTAGTTATGATCTTTCAGAGACGAAAATATGCACAGTTCTTAGTCAGAAACCAGTGTGACAGTGAATTACAAACAAGTTATGCTGAATAACAACACAAAGTGTGAAAACAAATAAGGCATAAGCACATGACATGGGGGGTGTTTGTGTGAAAATGTCTTTCCTGACCACAAGTGCAGAGTTAGCCAATCTGCTCTCAATGGCTTCTAGCGTTTTGCATTGCTGTGGCATTCCAGAGACTTTCTAATTCCCAATATTGGTTAGACTGGCATTTTCTGACTGCGTCTCCTCTCCTTCTTTCCTGTACTTTGTTTACTGCAGTCATATGAGTTTTCTGCCTTGCAGTGTGATCTGCTTTACACAGGCTAACACTTAAGCCTTTAGTGTAGGAGGCAGCAGTTATGTGCCGCCTTTTAACAGAGTCCACACAACATTCTCACATTCTGTCTGTCTTGAATTGTATGTGAGAAAAAAGCCACTAAAACAACTGCTGTCAGCACTGAGCTCTAACCTGCCGAGTGGTGTGGAAAGTGTTTATGTTTGTCTTTTCTCACCCTATCTCCTGTTGTGAGAAAGGAGAAGCCTTTTACTGTAACTCATCAGTTATTTTTGTGTTTGAGGCTCAGGGTGTGAGCACAGTGCCCCAGCAGGGCAACAGTGAACTTGTGCACCCCTGTTGAGTTCCCAGGCCTCTTTTTCAGGTTTAAACGCCCCTTTCTCATTCCTTCACCGCCGTATTACTGTGGAACCATGTGACTCTTGGCATTTAATCTTCTCTTCTCCTTCTTTCTTCCTTGGATGCTCTGTCTGCTTGAACTGGTGGTCCACTGGATTTCTTCACCTCACAGAGCTCCAGTCTTGGTGGCCTTAGCCCTCATTGAGTGTGGGATGAAGTATGAGGATGCTGTGCAGTTCATAAGACAGTAAGTATACTCTTTGCTTTTGTACTAGAACCATAAAAGGAGGCCAAGTCTTATTGGCTTTTTAAGAGACTTGCAGTGTAAATCAGACACAAGGTGTGCTGATACTGAAAACTCAGACCTCATAAAAACATAAGAAATGATTAAATGCATTTAAGTTGGAGGGATTTAGAGTCATGGAACGTTTTTTGTTTTTCCTTCCCTGGTTGGAAAGCTAATCCACTGTATTAGTAAGTTGGTTGACAGCATAGCAACATTTGGGCTATCAACAAAAAGTTGAAGGATGCTGTGAACAGAGCTATGGGCTCATGATAATCAGAGTTAAAAGAGACCTATTTTATGCTGTTTTAATTTAGATAACCTGGCAAGTGAGGTGGACTGAAATGCCTGATTAATATGTGCTTTTCATCCACATTACCAGCATGTGCTGTTCTGTGCCCAAAGATAGCATCCAGTAAACTATAACAATTCACCTGTAATCTTGCTTAATCTTAATTACTTTTTTGTGTTTGGATGGCCCAAGCAGCTGAAAGGAAATGCTAGCATGTTTTGTTTTATCCTTCTTTTTTTTTTTTTTAAAAGAGCTATTTGACATTAGCTGTGTAAATGACAGTCCTTCTTTAATGTATGCTGTTTACATAGGTGTGTTGTGTTTGCTTTAAAAATGCCAGTTGCAGTGTGCTGCACCAAAACATCATGTGATCCCATCTAGACCAATGACAGTACACTTGAGTCACTGAGAAATTCCCACTTTTAGCCCTTACGCCGAAGTAGAAGATGGAGTTCTAGGAATTCAGAAGTACTAGTTCTGACTCGCTTGAAAATGCTTGTCAATCTTTTATAACGCCTGTAATCACCGTCATGTTTTAATGTGCTGCATTCTTTGTAGTCACGTTATTTAAAGAGCCTCTCCTTCTTTTCTGGTTTTCACAGGAAGAGACGTGGAGCCTTCAACTCCAAACAGCTTCTTTACCTCGAGAAATACAGACCCAAAATGCGTCTGCGGTTCAAGGATACCAATGGCCACAACTGCTGCGTGCAGTAGGCTGCCTGTCAGTGCGTCTTTCTTATGCACATTTAGTGGGGAATCTTCCGATAACGGGAGAGATTTAAAAAGAAAAAACAAAACACGGAGAGTGCTATCAGTAATTATTGTGATGATTTGTTAACACTGAGTCATGGTTAATTGAGAAGGAAGCGAGTGATCAAATGAATGAGTCCAGATCTGGGGATCCACCAGCCGAACCAATGAATGGAAGGTTAAAGCACACAGATAGGCCCGCCACTCGGTTTATACTGTTCAACCACGGGCCAGAATTTTTCAACTTGAGTCCATCCTGTCTCTTATGGGGTTTTTAATTTTACTTTTTTTTTTTTTTGTTCCAGTTTTAATCATGGGATAACAGTTTCCATTTTTTGTGAATGTTTATTTTTACACAAATGTGGTGATGAAATTATATATTCTCATTTTGATTTCCACTATTGATATTTTATAATTGGGCCAGAACGACATACTTTCTTTTTCTTTTTTTTAAACACACATTGTGACTGTCTTTTTTGCACAAAACTCAAAGGTTCACCTGAAAAATGCAGTAATGTTTTTTTCTTTTTACCCTTCACTTGCTTTAATGTCACTTTCAGTTTAGGGGGTCACTGAGTTTGAATATGTCTGTAATATTTATTCACAAGATATATGTGTGGCAGTTAAGAGTTTGGCAGGGGCAAGGACACTTTCTCATCCAATAGTTTTAGTTTTATCCGTTTGAGAGCCATGTCTTTTTTCTTTTCTTCTTCTTTTTTTTTTTCTTTTCTTTAAATCTTGTTGGAGTGCAATAATCAGTCCACCTCAGATATGTCCGCCAAACCCTGCTGAGTGTCCTACGCACACATACACACAAACTTCAGATTATCATCCAGGCCGTTTAAAAAAAACAAACAAACAAAAAAATAAAAAAAAAATACAACAACAAAAATGTAACTACAACAGGTACTTGTAATTTCATTCTCTCTCCCTTCTGGGGCTACAATAGGACTTTTTACAGGTATGCATATTTAAACTCTTACATAGAGCCTAAGATTCAATCTGAAAGTCAAGCTGGAGAAGAATGAAAGTGGTCAGTTTTTTATCATTGTACCCATTTTGAAAACATCCCCAATTCATATTGGTTCTTTAAAGATAAATAAATTCAAATAAAAAGCAAACTTGTCTCCTTTTTTTTTCCCCCCCCCTGAGGTTGTCAGTTGTCACAGTCTGAGTGGGCACGGGCGTGATGTGTAGTGAAATGTGTGTTTCATATGGTGCTTGGGGCAGATAAGAAGTCCCTGCCTAAATGCCACTGTCCTAAAAGTTCACTTCAACCAGAGGAGCTTGTAAGAGATCCATCTAAAAGGAAACCATGGGAATGCATGGTTTCCTTTGTTTGGAGCAGTAAAGTCTAACTAATTTCATTTCCTGGGCCACATGCAACGTACTTTGGGTTTAAATGGGAAGTCAGTGTAAAGACGTTTCACCTACACAATCCCTGAGATATCTTTATATAATATGCATTTAAAAAGAAATCTTAATTTCTTTATTAGTAAATTACTTTGTTCTTTAGAAGTAGGAAAAGGTGAAAATACATGTACATCCTGTTGGATTGTGCGGTTGTCTTATTGGGTTTGCAAGGCTGCAGCCTGACCCTTCTCCCTCTGGGGGCAGTGGCCAGTGTTTCTGGTCTTCCTGTGTATCTGGCTGATATCAGGGGAAGGGTCCAGCTGCAGTCCCGACAAACCCCCGATCCCTCTTTACCCATACTTGATTCCTTACCCATGCTTTGTGAAATACCTGCTTCATTATGCTAAAGTATGACACACTTGGATACAGCAGGATATCACAGGATATCTAAACCAAAACTTCCTACTTCCTGTGCCAGTCATTGTTAAACGTTCTGGTATGAAGATGGTGTGCATTTAAAATCAACACAAAACAGTCAGTGGGTTTGAAATGTAATGTCAGACAGTGTCATCCAGGATGAGTCAGTACTTCCAGAGGCATATATGAGACACATCACATTCCAAGGATCCTGCATTGAAATCTTTGGAACAATTCTGTAACAGTAGAGGTGGTGGAAGTTCTCCCAGGGCTGCGGAAAGCTTTTTAAAAGCTTTTTTTCTTTGTCTTTTCTCTGATCTGATTGGTGATTCTATACATGTATTTTCATGTTTTTACTTGAAATGACAAGTGCCCAGAGGTGTTACAAACATAGGTGCTGAGGTGAGACTTGCTTTTAGAATGGCTTTGATGCACACTTTGCCTACCCACACATTCTCCATATTCTTTCATATGTGGGTATCTGTTTAGTCATGTGGTAAAAAATTACATTTTATTTGAAAAATTCAGATGTTTAAAGCAAAATGTCATCTTTGTCGTCCCCCGTCCCCCCCCCTTTTTTTTAAAAAAACAAAACAAAAACTGAACAACAACGCCGGCTCTCACCTTGCACTTAGTGATAAACACAATCAGTGCTTCCTAGACAGTATGTTCTCATTAGACATGTCTGTCAAAGGAACTCCTCCGTGTCCTTTCCCCATCTGAGAGTGAGTCACCACCACGTGGAAAGCACAGGACACCGAGGTACCGAGAGATGACTCACAATCTCAAGTGGTAATCACGACTCCTGCCAAAACCTCAAACAATTGAAAGTGCCCCCTCTGCTGCTGAAACGGTGTCACGGCGTGAGCAGTGAAGTCGTTCCACTCACGCTGAGAGCGATGACAGTTCGTTGGTAGTTGCAATGAGTCTCTTCCTCCTTTTTACTTTTGCAACAACACAAATTGGATGAGATTAAAACACTCTACATGGGCATGTTGGGCATGTTGCCAGAAATCATTTACTATTACCTAAAAATGGCGAGTGCTGGAAGTTTCCATTCCTTAGAAGAAAGAGCACTAAACACAATGAAAACACCTCAGTACACATAAAACTGTATTACTGGAAAACTAAGCAAAAGATGGCAAAAGTAAAAACAATTATTCTGGAGAAAAATGTTCCCCATCAGTGTTAAATGGATTCATATAACTATTACACGCTGAAGCTTGAGCTCATTTTGAATACTTTATATAATATATATATTTATAACCATGTCACACAGGCTTGAGCAATGTGTGACATGGTTAACTGTCAACAGCTATCTTCAGGGAGGTTTAAAAATATGAAAGAAAAATTAATATCTAGTGTTGGCAAAGCAGCTGATTAAACATATTACATTCAGACATTCTCATCGGTGCTAATATGAAAATGCTGCTGAGCCTGCACCTGCTCAACTTGCCTGTTTTATTAGACTGGACATGGTCAGAGCTGCTTCCCCCTCTCCATCATCATCCTGAGAGCGTTCTTTGTTAATGTATTAAAGAAGTTATTAACAACTTTTTCACACGCCATCTCTTCTACATCGCACGTTACCCAAGATAGTTACCAAGAGGAAACTCATCTGTCACCATGATAAGTCACTGAAGCTGGTTTACTTGCTAATGTTATATAATCTTTTCCTGTATAATATGTTTTTCCTCACCACATACATAATAGTTCTCTCTGCAAACATGATTCTGTTTATATTTAAACACTTATTAAGAGTACTCAGTGAGGAAATTGGAATAATGAAGTGATCTGACATTGATGTTCTGCTGACACTGACATCAATGTCAGCGACTGCCTACAGCCAGCTAATTAGACTGTATTGCCAGTTCCTTGTTCCGTGCATAGCTTGCTTTGAATAATATGGACGTCATTTACTTCCAAATCTATGATAAGAGCACAGGAAAATGTCGTGCAAGAGGCTGATTGTTACACACAAGGAAAAAGGTTGCAACCACTTGATAAATGACTCAGAATGTCGTCATTGCTGGGTACAAAGGCACAATCCTGTTGCCCTGTGCTTCTTCCTCAGCACCAGAAACACTCATGTAGTTTTGTCTGAGTCTGACGTCATCACACCATCATCACAATTTGGGGCCACTTGTCTTAAAATACCCTAAAGGTTAGTTTCACAGGCTGATCAGAAACTGGAGTGGACCAGTGAGAATGTGCAATAAAGGCCCAAACGCTTTGTGCTCAAACAGCCACAAAGACAATCTGAGGACAGTTGGCACGGGCCACCCAGAGGCCTGATATCAACATTCTGATTATCAGAAAGCCAAAGATCCACCAATGAAGAAGATGATGATACTTCGAGCAACACCCACTTGCCTTGTTCTTTGAAATCTGGGTAAGTTTAGATCAGATGTTATTTTCTCAAAGTGCACTCTGTATGAAGGTAATTGATACAAAACGCCACCCTCACTTCACTTTTTATTTAGCACTGCTCAAAAACACCTCACCCTTTCACACTCTTTTGACACGGAGTACCGAATGACGTCGCAGTGTTTGTTGCTATGGATAACACGGAGCGCTGAAAGCTTTAAAAAGCATCAAGCTGACAGGTGGCGAGATACCAAACCCCACAGTGCCTCTGGATCTGAGGCAAAGATCGAGCTGCTGTGAGGCAAACAAATGAGTTACGTTTTTATGTAAATCTGATTACAATTGATTGATTAAACTATTTAGTTTGGGTAAATGTGAGACTTAAAATTAAAATCACTCTTGATTTTCACACGCATTTGAAAATGGCCCAGGAGCGAAAAGAAAAGCCAAAACAAAACGGGTGTTATAGTAATTAATCAGCAGCGATTGCATTTCATTTAGCTGCTTGGTTTTAAGTAATTTGTTGATTGTTACCTTCAACTACTTTGTAACAGCATGACTTTGATGAACCCTGCAGGATGTTGGAAAACACCTATGCCAACCCCTCATTTTATTATTTCTCCAACTTAGAATATTTTTTCCCTTTTTTAAAAAAAAAAAAAACGACAGTCACGCCAGCAGGTATGTACATTTCTCTGCTCGTTGTATGATTCAGGGGAAATGTGAACTGGTTACGCTAAAGCAGTAGACCAGAATTTGAAAATAGAAAGCCCCTGCCCCCCTCTTTGTTCTACTGCGTCCCCTTTCCACCAAAGGAGATCAGGCATGTTACATGTGCCTATGAGATCCTTGAAACACTGAGGGGAGGGATTAAAACCCCAGTCTCATAGCCTAACCTATTCCATCACCCTGTCTTAGGCCATGTATGGATTATTTTTCTTGTGCTTTTTATACTACCTCATACCTGATTGGGCTAAAAAAACCCCAAAAAAACTGCTATTGACCAAAGTCCTCCATCACAGCCTGGCCTGTCCAAGGCCTGAAAATAGAACCAGAAGAGGTGAATTCCCTCTTTGCCCCCTTGAACTACATTACTGTACTACTACTTCCTGCTATAGCTTTTGCAGGGCTGTCATAGATCGCCAATCTATTGTAGGACTAACACAGAAAGACAGTCATTCGCATTCACATTAGAATTGGCAGTTAACCCCAACCCATGGACACATAGTCTGAAAGCCACCACAGAAAACCCCGAACAAAGTAGGGCACCCTACTTCTTCCGGGGTTTAACCTCCAACCGACGTAGGGTTGGAGGTTCAATGTGCATGCCAAAGTGTCCTTGGGCATTGCTCTTAAAGCACTGTTAAAAGGGCTTTTAAAGCAGAGTAAGGAGTCCATTTAGTGTTTTATGTCTTGCAGCATGAATGACGTGTCATTCAGGAAAAGTTAAATAAACAAAACTTTGCAGCTTTCTGTTGTCTGGTCTTGGTTTATTTAAAAAAAAATCTGTATTTTTGCTTGTGTTTGCTTCTGTTTATCATGTGCTGGCCAAATGGGCTTGTGTGAGCGCCAACATCTGGACTGGGGGTTGTTACGGCCCTCGCTTTAAGGTCTATGTTAAGCACAAGGCACATTCATCAGTTTTTTCTACATCATCTGCCATTGCCTCCATATTTTCTTTTTTTTTGTTGTTATCTGTTTCTTGTTGTATGAAACAACAATGGGAAAGAGTTGGAACTCTAACAGCCTTGTCTGTATAAGTTTACTTCATTCACTCTGTTTCATACTTGGCTGCCATATTTCAAACCTTTCTGTTCCTTTGTGAAGTTTGTAAGTGGACTTTTGTTGAAGTTGTTAAATGAGTGCTGAGTCAAGTCAGTGTCATCTTGGGGATTGCGGATTTCATTGCTGTGCTCCTGAATTGCGCCGGGTTAATCTGAGAGGTGTGTAAAGGCTTAAAATAAAAGGAGAATATTCTAACCTC